AACTCCTAAAGTTATTCTTGTTCTTCGTGGTAACCGTTTGTAGCTTTCCAAAAAGCCCATTCCGACTCTATCGCTCTCAATATTGAGCCTGCGTATGGCTTGGTCAGCAACTTTTTCAGTAGATTATGCGCATAAGCACACCTCGCGGAGAAACAAGTTTTTTCCATGGCAGAACTTTAGTTGCCGGTGACTTGAATATTTGTTCGCTTCTCCTTGCTTTTAAAGTCAAACAAACTGTTCATTACATAAGCCACAGGAATGTCCACGAAAGCAGTAGACTCGAGACAAAGGTACTATAAAAACAAGGACAAGGATCTATCGGTGAGTTGTATCTTTATGTTGCAGTGTGGATGGCGGGGTAATTTGAATGTTATCTGTTGGCATGCATGCGTTGTGCGGCATGTGATTTCTCGATTCTCGATTACTGGTACTGCTACTTGAAGAGTCAAACTGTTGATTTGTGAAACAGCTGGAAGGGGAGTGGTGTCTTTAAAATTGGAAAAAGTCAATAAATCACCAGATTTTAGTCTCTTGAAATGCATGACAAGTTTTTCTCGGATCGTGCAGTTCTCAAGACGTCCAAACCTGAAAAACCGAATTGTAGCGTTTACTTCGCTGGAAATATACTTTGAATAGTAGAATTATATCAGAAGCTTGAGAGAAATATTAACGGGCAAATTTTAATTTCAAGAACTGCTTTAATTTATAAACAGTCACTTGCTAAAAGGACACTAGTTGTGCTTTCCTCGCCGATCCATCAAAATGGTTGATGCCGTGAAAAAAGAAAAAACCTTATGTAAGAGTATTTCTCAATTCTCCTGGAAGTGGCATGTGATGTTAGTGGTATCGTGGTAGAAAAGGCTAGCACAGTTTTCAATTAAGCCAATGAAACTTCGTTTGGATGCAATTTATTCTAGAAAATCCAGCTATGCATTCAGAGGCTTTGTTACCCTGTTATGTTTTGTAGTCCATGGTCTGAGTCTTGCAAATGACTGAAAATGTGTAAAATTGTGAAATTTGACATTTACATGTATGTACCATAGCCAGCAATCCCATAGTTGCCAATTAAAATAATGACTATGATAATTTATTTACACATTAAATGTTGCTAAAAATTGCACAAGGGGCTACTTCTGCTGGAGTCTGTAGTTTTATAGTGCCAAAGTCACTACCTAAGAATTCGTATGTGTTCTGATTAAAATTAAGTGTTAAATAGCGAGTTGAATTATAGTTGAATACCACTACTGCATCAGAAGTTGAGTCCTGGAGCCAGTTACTGTTCATAAAGGTCAGAGCAAACTAAGCAACAAGATGTATTAATGTGCCGTGGTCATACATATGTATGTAGCAGCAACAAATGGCTTAGTATGTGCTGGAGAATTTTTGTCAAACTGTTTGTCTTGGCAACAGAATTTTGTCACTGCAGCAAGTGTCTCAAAATCAAATCAGATTGAATTTCTGTGACTTGTTGCAGCAAGAAAACTCTGTTGCAGACACAAAGTTTTTCACAAACATTCTCCTATACACCAAGTGATTTGTTGCTGTGATGTTTCTAGCAACTTGTTGCCCGACCTGTGCAAAAAAAGTGATTTGTTGCTGCAATGTCTTGTATCAGCATGTCACCAAGTGTGTTCCAACCTTTAATCATAACATCAGTCATAATCAGCAGTAGACCTTGCATATATTACCTAGTCTAAGCGGTAACAGTTTGTTTCACCCGAAAGTTGATTCACCCGACATCAGGTTACCTGGGTGTAAGTTGATGCTTCCATATTTGTTCGTTGATCTTTTCAACCTGTTAAAAAATGGAGTAAGAGTAAAAGGACAGTGACTGCACATATGGGTCAACAGCCTGTTCCAGTGTTTATACTACTACATGAAAAATTTCTGCAATTTGATTGGCTTAGAGCAGTGGTATTTCAGCTTAATTTGAAATACCTACATGTGAAAATTACAAACCCTTTGCGGGTAGTAGTATAAACAAATAATAGCATGATTTGTACGTGATATTTGGCATAAATACCACTTGTGATATTTCAAGATTGTCTCAAATTTCACTCCCCTAACGGCTCGTGAAATTTCGTATAACAATTTTAAAATATCACTCGTGGTATTTATGCCAAATATCACTAGAAATCATGCTATTACCTATACAAACTTCACATAGAATATCTTAAATATTGGCATAGCAATCGTTGTGATGGCTGAGGTACATGTCAACTTCAGTATTATACACTTTCATTCAGTATATCGAATTTGGTCACTAAGATTGTTCAGATCGATGGACCTTTCTTAGCAACAGGGAAAGGAAAGCAAGCTTGACTGAAGTCAAAGATGTCTCGTGTGAGCTGTTTTGTAGTCTGTAGAGTGTTGCTTGTCACCATTTGACATGATAAATTTTGATTTCCAGGAACTAAGGAGGAGAAGAAATGAAGTCACTGTTGAGCTTAGAAAGGTTTGAAGGCTTCAGTGTTTTTGGAATTAAAATTATTATTTGAAGGGATTATGTTTTATCATTGGTGCATCAAATTACCACACATGTACATGTTTAAAGTCCCTTGTTCTTTCTTTTTGTTTTATACTAGGCCAAAAGAGAGGACACTGTCCAAAAGAAAAGAAATGTCCCTCAAGACATTGTGGATGAAAAAGATGACAGTTTACAGGTAAGACTTTGTTAACAAGTCAACAAGCATCATCTAGTCATTTCCTCCTTCCAGGTGTCTTTGTGTATTAGTGTCATACAAGTTGCATAAACTTTCTGCATCACCCTTCATATGGCTGCTATCCAAGTAATAATTGATATATAATTAAGCTGTCGTTATTTTAGTATTTTTAATGGAGCCATTTCTTTTGATAATTCTACATCAGAGTCTTGCTCCTCTCTCCTTCCTGTTGTTGTCTCATGTTTGTCTTTATGTTGTTTTACTTCGCAGGGAAAGAACCTTCAGAGTATTGTCTTGGTAAGTGAACAAAATCACACCTGAGCAATTCGAACTGTATTTTTAAAAGGACCTACAACTTTACTTGAACCCACTCTTGATGCCTAAATTACCCTTATCTCATGTGTGGAACTGTATAATTTCTGTAAATATTTACTGCTAGTTTTCAATTCCATCACTTCTTAAATTGAATTTGACTAGAAACTTGTACAGGTTGAAAACATCTTCCGAAGCATAGTAAAAGCAATTTTGCCCGACGCTCCAAAGATGCATGTACAGTGTAACAGCCTGTTCCAGGTGTTCAGAAAATGTGGTTGCACTTTTGTTTATATTTTTTAAAAAAGGTTGCTCTTAATTTTTTTGTATTTCTTAAGACTGGGGAGAGCTGGAAAAATAGAAAGACACAGAAAAAATGAATCTGAATGGGAACTGGAAAATTAAAAGGAAGTAGCAGAAATGAATCTGAAGCTTTTTCTATTTTGCAACCACAGCATGCAAACAAACAGCTAGGTTTGATGATGACAAGTATCCACAAACAACTGAACACCTGGAGAAAAGCCCCTAAGAGACTTTTGTTAAACCCGCTGGATTCTCATTTCAGTTGGTCTTGTATATATGCTAGTTAAACAAGCAAGAATTTGACATTAGATCAGCAGTCATTTGAGTCCTTCTTTCACGCATTCTTTCAATGTTAATTTGCATGTACCATCATTGATCTGTGTGAAGTGGTAGTGTAACTGTGTTCTTTTTCACTCCTGTAGAATGCAAGCAGCCAAGATCCAACAGAGCAGCTTGGTGCTGTACAAGCAGCCAGGTTAGTCATAGAATTCTGGTTTCCTGATTTCTTGTGGAGAATATCACTGAGCTGTAGAAGCTCAAGTGTCGTTTTCTTGTATACCAAAGTTAGTAGCTTAGACCTTAGTGAATGTTTAGGTGGACGAGTTACCCATGGTTAATGAGGTATTCTACTCCTAATTTTGTGATACTATTTAGCATTTCAATGCTCTCTTTCTTTGTTATGCAGTTAGAATAATAAATTATGGCTGTGTAAAAGTAATTCCATTATTAATAATTATGTTCTCCTATCTTGTGAGACAGAATAGCGGAAGTCGAAACATGCTTGTTTATACTAGAGTAGAATTTTGTACCCAGTAATGTTCTAGTTGCTATATGTGGCCAGCTTCATCTGCATTGTGTTTGTTTTTCTTTTCATTTCACCTGACACTCTTTACTGCTTATGCTGTAGTTCTGTACTTTATATTTTACTTTCCAGAAAACTGCTCTCAAAAGATCGTAATCCACCTATTGATGAGCTTATTGAGTAAGTATAACAACTTTCAATTTTAGCAGACTTTAGAAAATAAGAACTTGTTTCAAATTTTAGGCTAAACAAGTTCCTGTATAGACGGGTTTAACTGGCAAATATAAACCCAAAAAGTTCTTAAAAACCAGGTTCTTAGTCACAGGTTTTCACTGTGTATTGCTGTTTTTTGCAGGTCGGGCATACTTCCAGTGCTTGTGAATTGCTTGGAAAGAGAAGACAAGTGAGTAAAAATTACCAAGAGACTGTTACATGTAAACTCATCGAGATGAGGTTGAGTTTCAGTGCTCTAGTGGAAACACATAAGAGTCAAAGACAACATATCCAGGGCAACCAGTGAGCAGCAGCCACCAGTGGCACTGTCACACTGACCAAATAGATCAGTGGAATATGAACATATATAGTACAGTCATACCTTTCTGAAAGTGAGGGAGGGATGGGGAAACAATTAGCAAAGGGCAGCTTTGACTCAAACATACCTAATTGCACGGTGAATCTCAGCAACTTGAGTAAGCCACCTCAATCGAAACCGCCTTGCAGCCTTGTTTCAAGTTGAACCCATCCACCCGTGGAAACTTTGCGGAACAATGCGTTTTGAAGCTTGTCGAGTGGTTTTCTGGTCACTGTTGTGCTATAAACACCTAAAACTCACCACAAAGCCATTTACAGGTCGTACACTTCATGGCCTTCTGATTCAGGTGGCTAAACTATTAGCTTGCAAAGTTCAGGCATGCGCAGGAAGCAAAATTTTTGGGTTTGAAGGTGACACAGCAGTCTTGACTTTTACTTTTTGCTCTCTCTCCTCCCCTCTTTTTTCACGTTTCTCACCTCATTTTGTTTTCCTTTTGCTGGGGATTTAGTAGGCTTCATTTTGGTGGGAAAAGTTTTTACGAAGGCTTGTAGGATCTTTAATAGGATCAGAGGAAAGGAAAGGTTGGTCGGTAGTGGAACAGGATTTTCATGGAAATTTTCAGGTCAATGTTTCATGGTTTTTTGCCTTTTTCTTTGGTGCCCATGACTGAATCATGCTCATTCTGGTATGCTTGAAAGATCTCTTCTCCCTGCACAAGTTAGCAGACAAAGTTGTCCATGAACAATAAAACTGATTTCAGCACAAGTGGAAGAAGGGACGTGGATCCGCATGGGCAGTTATGGACAGTTCAGGGGCCAGTGGGTTAACTTCACCTAGATTACCTTTAGCCACACTTGATATTAGGAGGTACATGATGTCGTAGTTGAAAAAATATATTATTATTATTTGTCATCTGATATCACTTACTTTGTTACTGTTTTTTTTTTACAGTCCCTCTCTTCAGTTCGAAGCAGCATGGGCATTAACAAACATTGCATCTGGTACCTCGGAGCAAACAAATGCTGTCGTCAAGGCTGGTAAGCAGGATCAAATCCCAGTTTTTAAAGAATTTTATTTTGGGTGATCTCTTCTCTGTGTCCTTGTCAGGGAGGGCAGGTGTCAGACCTCAGAACCTTTGCCCTTTTTAGAGATGTAGCATGACCCCCGGGCTGTTAAATTTTTTCCCTCATCATGACAGACGTTTGACAAGATTATTTCAGCCCTCTTTCTCCTTGTCCATTTGATGTTTTTGTGATACTGTGAACAGACATGGTTAGTTTGCAGATTGCCAGACTGATCATGATTTGTCGCAAACAGTCTTACCTTCCATGACAATGTTCTGTTTCGAATAACTATGTCATCTCAACTTTGTACATGTATGGTGTGATTTAAAAGCTAAATGATATTTTGGAGCAACAGCACTGTGTATCTTCAGAGTTAGATTTCTTTTATCTAACCCTTCGCAAAATTTAGACTGGGACATAAACTGCTTCAAGTAACAACTAATGTTCACAAAAGTAATATTATTATTATGGAGGTTTTTCCGTGTAGTGAGATCTGTTTGCATAAATTTTGTCTCTTAAAAAGGTTATAGAAAAAAAATGTCCTTGAACCAGTAAATCAGGGTTTCATTTTCATGCTTCTATGTGATTAAGCCTCATTAAATGTGATATTTGTTTGTAGATGCTGTCAAGCATTTTATGAAGTTACTGCAATCACCACATCAGAATGTCTGTGAACAAGCTGTCTGGGCTCTGGGGAACATAATTGGTAAGAATTTATCTGTCCTAAGTTGTACTGTAACTCCTAGGCTTCTTAATGACTGCTGCCAAGTAAACGGCAATGACATTCACCACAGGAACTTTTGTATAACGTACACCTAATTTTGAGTGCTTGAAATCATGGGTGCAGCTATGTGTAAGATCATATGCTTCAGATGGTACAAACTGCCTGGTTTTGGTTCAGAAACATAAAATGACTATTTAAGCATTTTGCATCTTTTTGTGTAAACATTCTGAAAACTAATTAAACCAAAAAATGTTTCAAAACGATGCATGTTACATTTGTAATACTTAACAGTATCATATGTAAAATGTGTTCATCCAGAAAATATCCATACTTCCACACAGAGGGTTGGACTATGTTTGAATCACTTTCCACCCCAAATGTACAATTTAAAGGCATCTTGCTTATGTTCCCAGTGAAAATCGGAAACACACATTGCAAGTAGCAATCAGAGAGTAAGCTACTTGCTTTTTACGTTAATATACAGTAGTGGAAGTTTCCAACATTCAACAATGCAAATAGCCATCTCAGTCAAGAAAGATTGTTTAGAACCAGAAATTTATCAAGCATGGCAACGTGACATCACATTTTTCCTCTCTAAGAAGTTTGGAGAATTTTGCCGACGTTTGACTTTGTTATTTCACTATAGGTGATGGTCCTGGGCTAAGAGATTTTGTCATTCGTCATGGTGTGGTGGGACCATTGCTTAAGTTTGTCAACCCTAACGTTCCTGTAAGTATCTCTCTTTTTGTGGCCTTGTGATTATGGTTAGCCATGTGCTTACATGTGTACAGTATTTCCTCGAATAAGCGAGGCGGTGCTTATTAAATTTTTCACGCCTCACTTGAAGCTAAATAATCACAAAAATATTTTCAAAACTGCAAGTCTCTTGTACCAATTACACGTGACGGCTTTCTTCCAGCATAGGCATTTTGAAGTCATCAAGAACTCTTTTTGTCTTGGTTTCTCTGCTTTTCTTACCTGTTAACAGCTCCTGCTAAACGTTTTTGTGGCCTTCACTTGCTTAATCCGAAAAAATCTTGCAAACATTTTCGAGACCGCGCCCATGTTGAACACAAGAAGGAAAATAAATTTCCCATGACACCATCCATGTCTCTGTACTCTAATTGATCATGGGCCATGACCAATCACACCATGCATAGCATTAACCACATTGCATAAAATAAACTATTTACATATACCGTATTTCCTTAAATAATAGCCGAAGGCGATTATTTCTTTTTTCTCAGCATCAAAAGGGGGTGATTATTTGAGGGAGGTGATTATTTCAAATATTGCTCACTTGAAGTTGTGCCCTGAATATTTTGTTTTATTATCCCATTAAATTAAAGAAATTATCACAGTCATGAAGTATACTGAACATGGGCATTTTAAGCATTCCAAATTTGGTTCCCTTATTAATTTTCAGGGCTTGAATCTTCACTGATCAGTTTTGCTGGATCAGATTCCACTTCAACTTGAGAGGGAGGAGATAAAAGGTTTAGAGAAGATGACGGGAGGGGCTGGGGGGACATTGTTCAAGGGAGTCATTTATTAAAATATTTTCATCAACGGGGGGCGATTATTCGAGGGAAGCAACTAATCGAGAGACAGCTATTATTCAAGGAAATTCTATATATTTGGTTGACTGATGTTTCTCACCATGTAAGTGTTTATTTTGTGATAACAGGTCATTTGCAATTGGACCGCCGTCGACTGGGACTGGGCTAACCTAAAAAGCGGAGGGGTCGGGAGGGTGCGTATGGAACCATTTTCCTCATTTGTGCGTCTTCCTCATCAGACACTTTTACAAAATAATCAATAATAATAATCATCATCATCATCATCATTTATGTTATTATCATTATAGTTATGATAATGATGATGATGATCGTAATAACAATAACCAATAAAAATATAAACTTATACTGAGTAAACCAACCAAATAAAAGCAGTGTGGAATGGAAGATCAAATAAGGCTATTCTACCTTCCCATAATATCATTAAATGAATGATTCTTTTCTTAGTGTCATTTATGCAAATCAAAAGAAATTTTTAACGGCGTTTGAAATTCAGCTTCTCATTTGTTGTTCTCATTTGTTTCCAATAGAATTAGGGAAAGAAGTTGTTTATTTTTTATTAGATTCATCTTATGATCATGTCCTGGGACCCCAGGTAGGTGAGGTAACCCGCCTGTCCATATAATCTCTATTTCAATTCGATCACGTTTACATGATAAATGGGCTGACCTGCCACATGTTACCCCACCTATTTGGGGTACCCCACCTCCATGCAAACAGATCCTAATTCGCTGAGTTACAAAATGGGAAAAAAACAATTATTAATATATATATATTACTGGCAGTGTGAAGTCAAGACCAGAGCAAAACAAGACAAGGGTGGTTTGGTTTCATTCTTTCTATTTCATTGCCTAGGGACCAAAAGGGTAAAGTTTGACAAGTCACTGAAACAGCAATGAATCAACCACAAATGACCAACACTTCACTCTCAATTACAACAGAATACAATATTCAAACACTCGGGAGGCTCTTTGATCATACTAAAACTTAAAACTCCAGGCATCTATTGACTCTATTAGAAATAAATCTCCTGTCAGTACTTTTCCTTGACAATGCATACTACATAAAAGAAATAGAATGCCAGCAATCTCTTATTTTTCATAACACATGTAGTGAAACCAGAGTTAAGTTGCCTGAAATGCTGAGTCATGTTGTTCGGTAAAGAGTGTGTATAGTATGTCTTGTTCTTTAGACCATCATCAGATGAAGCAAGAGGACTGTTAAGCGATGATGAGATGAAACAAGTGGCATAAACGAGTAATATATCTCGCTCTTTAACCCTTTATGAACAATGAAACAAGCGCGATAAAAGAGTAATATATCTCATTCTTTAATCTTCGATGAGATGAAACAAGCATGATAAATGTGTAATAAGGTTGAGCATGATAAAGTTTGGAGCTACATAACTCCGCCTTCTGGACAGTTTTGAACTGAAAATTTGGGCAACTTAACTCTGACTTCTGGTTACATAACTTCGGGTGAGATAGCCTGCGTTGCAGCCATTAAAAGGGGAAGGGGAAGGAGGAATTTAAACGTGTGAGAGCACGTGAGGTGCACGGGGGAGAAAGGAAAGGAACCTCCTCCCTCCTCCCTCGTGCGTGGTCTCACGCCCTAAATTCCCTTTCCCTTTCCTTTCGAACACCTACCACGCAGGGTAAAGGCGAGATGACTTAAGGGTGACTTGACCATAAACCGCATACACTGGCAAGGGTTCCATACACATCTGCCTAATACCATGTTTCACTGTACCATAATATATCTAAGGCAATCTTAGGGTGTGGGGGGGTGAGGGCGGTGGAGGGTATGTACTGAGGAGGAAGCCCAAACTTGTCCCCCGTCAGTATTTGAATTTTCAGTTCCCTTTATCTTTGTCGCTGGGGCAGTTTCAAACCAACTTTGTATCATTTATCACCATCAAATCTGTCTTGTACCACTACTTCAAGGACAACTACAAGTTACTTAGTTAGTTGCTACTTAGTTGCTTGTTGAAATTCTACGCAAACAGGGCCTCATATTATCCGTTTTCACTTCTGAAACAGTGAAAAATTATGTCTGTTTCCTCACACTAATCATGATCATTTAAAATATTCATTGATAATTAAAACTCTGCAAGGTCAGCCAGAAAGTTCTCATATCTGAGCAACAACACAATAAAAAGTGCTTGAAGCCATTGTGAAAATATGTTATCAATGCAGAATTTTGATGTTTTCAACTGACATTTTGTAATGCATGTGAACATCTTTCAATATGAGTTCTTGAACTCGTCTTCATCAAGCCAGGCTGCTTTGCTTCTTCTAGAGTTTTAAAATCCTTCGTTGCTGATGATTATTTTAATGGCGGCAAATAACTTTTCATCAAAATAGTCTTACGATAGGGGGAGAGGTCGCTTCCTGTTATTTTCCTGAATTTTCCAACTGAGTGGCTTGTAAGTTAAGTGACGTCACGGGGTGGATGACTTCGACGACATTGCGTCTTTATCCTTCCCTGTTTTTTCAGCTACAGGAGTAAGAGGCAGAAGATAAGGGCCTGCTAGACCAATTATAATTCCAACAACTCCTAAAGTTATTCTTGTTCTTCGTGGTAACCGTTTGTAGCTTTCCAAAAAGCCCATTCCGACTCTATCGCTCTCAATATTGAGCCTGCGTATGGCTTGGTCATCTCTTGAAATGCATGA